AATTTTATCCACTCGTGGAAACATGGACTAATAAGAGAAATTGTTTCTAAGAGTGATCAGTGATGGATCCCACCACAGGCCAGTCAAAGACGCTATGGTGGATACACGTCATCACGAAGAATTTCCATCTCGAGTACGTACAGTTTTTTCTCGACTAAAACTTCACAAAGTTGGTATCCTATGTGAAAATGAAATGGTTTCCTTCACATTCAAAGGAAACTTTGAATAAATGTATAGAGACGCTTTTGTTAAATAAAATAAAGAAAATAAAAATTAAATTTGTAATTCTTTTACAATTATTTCCTACTTTTTCACGAATAGCATTTTTTTGAGCCGTATTCTTTCATTTTTCGTTTATGATTCGATGTACTTGACTAGTCGATTAGTGATGACACTTGTTCTAATGTACGTGCGAACGGAAGCGAATTATTCCACCACCGTGGACACGCCAATTCTTAAGGATAGTGAATGATAAAAATTTGTAAAAGAATGAAAATAGTAACTCTGTGAAATAAAGTAAATCTTAAAAATAATGCAATATCATTTTAAGGTGATCACATATTATCCCATTTTCATAGATCTTTAATTATTAGATCGACATTAAAGCGTCAATCAAATAAGTTTATTAAAGTATCTCCAATGCAACAATGTGTATTGTTGCATACGTTGGCAAATAACGAGAGATGGAGAGAAGAAATCTTTAATGGGACAGTAAACTGCAATAATTGTAGATCACATGTGAAAATGTAGAAGAAAGCGAAGAAAAGTTATAAAAAATTTCAATAGAGAATGCCCCTACACCTTTTTATTCGATGTATAAGTATTTTGAAATAACGTGAAATATTTTTTAATGCAATTCACAGTTTGATTGAAAGTGCTCTTCAGTTCTATTATATTATTTGATTGACATGATTACAAAGTTTCCTAAAAGAAAATTGTTTGTGTAAGAAACCTCTTTTTTGTGATATGGATTGATTGAGAGTTCCAACCAACTATGGCCCTTTTGCATGCAATCATATACATGACCAAACTTGATTATCTCTATGCACTAAACTTGATTATCTCTATCCAACATACTATTATCATGTTTTTAGCTACGATCAATGAAAAAAGTATTTATATTCATTTACTTATAAGTAACTATAGGTATACTTTAGAAGCTTAGCCTGCCCACCGGAACATAGCTCAGTGATGCAAAAGATAGAAGTGAGGTAGTCTTAGCCGCAGCCGCTATTTACCTCCTCCACGATACTTTAGAGACGGGACAGTGGGGGGCCGCCCTCAAGGTTGGGGTTCAACCTTTTTAGAAGCTTAGCCAAACATTCTTTAGGTGGATAATTCACATGAAAGGAGTAAGATTTTAATTTTTCTTCGAGTGTGTATGAATGTGTAGATTTTAGGTTCTAAAATAAACTAGATGACAAAATCTCAGAGTCAATGGCGTGTGGGTTCATACTTCCATCAATAAATTAGATAGTACTATGAATAATGATGTTCTTCACAATTATTTACCTAATCCTACTCGGTGATATATGCTTCATATTCAACAAGCTGTAACTATCCTATATATACACTTCTTGCACGATTCTACATCAAGTGTAGCACTTAGCCACATAGCAATCTATAGTTGCTCGAGTCATTAATGATTAAAACTCTCGTGTTGTATCGTAATTGTTAAGAATTTAATTGCTCTCCACCTTTAAATAATTTGATAACAATTTAGGAGGAGTGACAGTTAAGTCGAGTGATAGAACTTAAATCTATTGAAAGAAAGGTTAAGATACTTTTTATTCGAACTCGTTATTCGATTCAATTCAATGTACTTTTATTTTGCAATTGCATTATTGTTCGTGCGTGTGAATTACTGAGATAAGTTTGTGATTGCGTATTGTATGTAAATTTCAAATTGGGGTGTCAATCATTTGCAGATATACCTTAGAAAGTGTACATGATTTCAAATGAAATATTTTTATTTTTTATTTGTTTTGAAGTGCATTAAAATAGTTTTTTCAAGTATGCTTACCAAATATACGTTTATTTTTTGAAAACTACTGTCTAGTATCACTTTATGTGACGTTATGTTATATGTTCACTTATTACTATTATTGTTTAAAAGTAAAGAACTTATACAAATTAAATTAAACAAGAGTTTCGACCGTGATTGTAAGGAATCGAATTCAAAACTTGACTATAGTAGTAAAAGGACACGTTAACATTATTGTTGAGGTCTTGTTTGGAACCTTGCCGATCTCAGGAAAATACCAAAATATCGTTATTGAGACTTTGTTTGTGCTCACAACTAAGAATCAACTGGCACGCCAAAAAGACTTTCATCGTAAATTAAGGGCGAAATTAGGATTGTGATTTAGTGGGGACATAATTTAAGGAAAATTAGAAAGTTTTTAAATATGTATTTTTTATATATTATAATTGCTCCTACAAATTTCATACTTTGTATAATTAAAATATTGAATAGAATTAGATGACAAAAGAATGTTAATTTTCCTATCTAATCCTATTGATTGAAGTGTAGCTCAAGGACTTGAGGACCGTAAGAAATCATATCAGTAACAAACAGTCCCTTATTGTTAAAGTTGTTTTGGCATTTTTGTAATTGTAGCAAATATTTGTATCAATCTTTCTTCCCAAACTCAGTGAGATTTGATTGGGTATTAGGTGGCTCCATCCCTAACGTGGACGCTCAAGTCTGAAGCAAATTATAAAAAAAGTAATGCTATTCATATTCGCTCACTGCAGCAGTTATCTTATGTGGCACAAATATGACATATGGTTATTTGATGCATTAATGTGGAAGTTTTTTGACCACATTAATGCATTAAATACACACTTGACATGTGTGTGCGCCATATAGGACGATTGCTGCAGTGAGCGACTACAAATAACATTATACTTATAAAAAAGAAGTAGAAATAAGTGTAGTACAGTTTTAATGCGTGCTTGGATCTTATCTCTTCCTATTCCCTCCCTACAAAGTCATTCTAAGTTACTATATAACGTGATTTTCTTTGTCATTGATTTTTCCGAGTCCATCTGGTCATTGTCGGACTCATTCTTGATTCGAGGGTGGAAGATTAATTTGTGAAGCCGATTGCCAATAAATGTGATGAATCTATTGCTTAAATATTCACCGATGCAAAAATTTCGAGAACTTTCGAAGTACACAGTACTCATTATTCCTTGCTAATACTAAATTGAAACATGTTAAATAGGTGGGACAAACTATTTAGAATCAGACTATATGTACACTAAGTTTTATATCATACTTTATATTGTACCACATGGTGACATAACATTGAACGATTTTAAAAAAAAAAAAAAATACAATTTCTCACCAGCAGGGGCGGGCCCAAGAAATTTTTCCATTGCAGACGATATTAGTAAAGGTAAAAAAATAATAAATAGGAATGGTCGCAATTAAATTCTACGTGAAAATGCATAAAACCGGATGAAATAATGCATATAATGTACACATTCTATATATTGTAACTTCAGTCAGTATATTCATTCAAATGAAAATAAAAACAGGCGCAAATCTGACGCTATAAAATAACACTTAGGATCCGTTTGATTGGTAAACGTGGAAAGACTTTCCAATTTTATGTAAGTTGGAAAATAGTGGCAGAATCCCAACAGAGTTATTCAATAGTGTTAATCTGGAATGGTTTTCACTCACAAGCAATGGACTGAGTGGTGAGATTCCATGAGAATTCGAGTATCTAGCGAGGCTAGCTGTTTTGCAACTTGCAAATAACAGCTTGAGTGGTCAGATATCGAAAGAGTTAGCAAATTGCACCTAGTTTGGTTGGACTTGAACAGCAACCAGCTAAGTGGAGACTGGAGAGATCCCGCCTCGACTTGGAAGGCAGAATGGATCAAAAGCACTTAGTGGAATTCTCTCAGGCAACACATTGGTTTTTGTTTGAAATGTGAAGAATTCGGGCAGAGGAGTCGGAGGGTGCTCGAATTCTCCGACATGGTGGAGATGGATGAGGTGGTGTGCCGACATTTTGGGCTTTTGGTTTTGGATTGGGTAGCGTGGGGTTGGGTAATACGGTTTTTTTGGTTTTTGATTTAATTATTTTATTTTAGTTTTTTATATGAAAAAAATGTAAAATTACCCTTTTGCCATTTAAAAACTAGTTAACATTTGGTCAGACCTTTAATTTTTGGTCTCCTAACCGTCAAACTAATGGTTTCTATTAATTTCGACTTTGGGTGCGAGTTTTTTAAAGATTTGGTACCGTGTGTGGTACAAATGAAATGTTTAGACGAAATCTGCAATTAAATGAAATATTTGGTACCGTGAATGCAATTTTTCCTTAGAATTATAATATATTTTTCTTTTTTTTTTTTTTTTAAATGCACATTTTTTAATAAAATAATACTTCACATAAACCAAAATCTTTTCATTTTTTTTTCAACCATCCATTTTCCAAAAAAATATTTTTCCAAACATTATAATCCCAAATAATGGGGCCAAACGGGGGGTTCAAAATCAAGGCAATGGTTCATTTGGAAGGGTTTGTAGAATGTAGTTAATAAGATAATATGTGCCAATTATTTTGCCCATTTCAATTTTATTTATTTATTTATTTATTT